CCTGTTCAGACGGATGTGTTATATTCCGATCGAGTCTATATGACGCAAAAGCTTCATCGATCTGCGACCTTTATGGACATCGATTTTCGCATAATTGCGGTACTTCGAATGGTAGAGATTGTACAAAATGGAAACTATCGATATCAGGAATATGAAAGTAATTGTTAATCTTTCAGACGTAATAATTGATCAGACGTCATTTGTGTGATATCAAATCGAATTATACATAGATAAAGTTCCATTTTCGAGTACGAAATGTTCGAAGGATGACGAAGGTCTTAGATTCATGAAAACAAACCGTTTACTTCTGTTTGAATTATTATTTAAATTTAAGTAATTGCGACTTGAAGATGGGTATTATACACTCATTGTACGACTTCATCCTGGAAGCTATAGTTTCACTGCTAAAATCTATTGCCGACGATTATAACCGTCTATTCCTGAAAGAATTGGTTCTCAATTGTGCAGGGTGATTAACCTGCTCCGGGCCGAGTAGACCGTATAAATGCCCCGCCATTTATGGGCGGTCATAAACGAAATTCCCCAGTTAACGGTAGGTTGACATTTGAGTTAAAGAGAAAAAGAACAGCGATAGCTTGGCTTTCCAGGACGGAACTCTACGAAATCTTTATTTTAAGGCAAGCGCAATCAAAAATACCTGTAAAGCCTGAGACCGTAGTATCTCCTACCTTAGAATACCTCTAGTAATTCAGTCGTTCCAGGTAGTATTTAAATTAGTCGCATAAGTAGTGATACGATTCGTTGTACAAGAACAATATGTTATTTACGTAGTATGCCAACCATGTAGATACACTGGTATTCCCAAGAATATCTGTTCGCGAGCACGGGTATCTGCGTTCGTGTAGACGAGTTATCGGAACCTGTTTCCTTCAGAATTTCAAGTGCACCGTGACAATCGTACGCGTCAGTCGCGATCCTTCGATAAATGGTGTTTTCCACGGATGATGTTGCCGTGCGGATTCGCATGAAATTCTTTCGCGATCATTGCCAAGATTCTGCCACTCCTGTCGCACGCGAGCCCACGTCCCGCAATATGCCGAATAAACCGAATATAACGGGACGGTTGTTTCGCAAAAACGAGTCGGTGATCCCACGCGACGGATCGAGATAGCGCGGCAGAAGCTTGGTGAGATTCTCGGCGAACACTAAGCGGGAAAATTGTTGCGTCAGAGAGACATTATACTAAATTATATTATATGTTATGTATATTATTATATTATGCAATTTAATTTAGTGTACATTCAACGCTCGTAGTTCTAGTATTACATCTAGAGTTAGACTCTATTTTATTCGCATAAAACACAGTGAAAGGCAGCAGCATCTAAGAGGGTCAACTGGACCATTAAACAGTTGATGAGATTAAATAATTGTTTGGCAAGTGCTTACGCATTCAAGAAGTGTTATTTTATTACAAAAATTAGAACTTCCGCGTTTCATCGATTACAAATGCTTTCTTTAAATCTTGTATTCGAATTTGCCCATCTCTGCGTAAATCTTTGACACGTTCGTTTATATTGCAACCAGCGATCAGTTTGCAGTCGAATCGACGTTATCCAAACACGAACGAGCACGAATGAATTATTTTGCTTTTGAACTGTCGACAAGAGATGGATCACATTCGTTTGTGCGCGTTAATATCGGTCCGTCGAGTATAGACCTGGTTTCACGGATCGCATTATTCATCGGCGATCATTTTTCATCTTGTGATGCAAAGCTATCTGTGTCATTGAACGCTCGCTATTGATCTTGCCGTCATCTACCGGATTTTCCGTCGAACGTAAGTGGACCATCGGATGGATTATTTTTTAATTGCAGCCACGATAAATGGAAGTTGCGTCGAGCGTATCGGGAATCGGTAGGAATAGATTATTAGCAGGTGTCAGTTCGCCGTGGAATCGGGCTCTCGTGACACGGTTAGCATGTTCCTTCTGACAGCGATCTATACATATATACATATCTGTTCGCGTCGAACCGTCAATTTATCGAATCGTGAAAACGTCAAAGTCTTTTTTCTCTTCATCCTACGGTATTTTAATTTATGTGCAATCTGTAGCTGGCTTATTCGGGTGACCGAGTGAAATGTTTCCCGTTTATTCGTAGTTGTTCGCAATAAATATTTACCAGAAAAGAATATTCCCTTGGAAGATATTCGAGGAAGTGATTTGTAAAGCTATTAGTAAACACCTGTTCCAAGGCTGTCATAGCAATTGTTTTCAAGTACTGCGCATCGAACGTTCAGGCGCTACCTGAGAAAGGAAGGATTCGCTCATGGTCGTAATTGTCCTTTATTGAGTACCTAATAACCGTTTACGACAGACCGAAAGAAAATTCTTGGTATATACTGTTATATTAACCGTTAGTAGTGTTTTCAATATATATAACTACGGACACAAAGCCACTTTGTTGATACTGAAATTCTAGGACCTATCGGTACGGTATTGTTCTAAGAAAATGAATATTCTTTTGGCCTTCTTTCACCATTTCCAATCTCGCGTGCAATATATAGAATTACAGGTTATTTGAAGGCCAAAAACTGCTCTATAATCTACATTAAGGGGAACAAGTTAATTACTGTTGCATATGTAGAATGCTGGAACGATATTTCCAGTGTACTTACCCGTAACTTCACGCCGTTACATTCACTTCGTGCGATTAGTCAATAAGAACAAAATAATATATTTCTACTGTGTCATTTTTCTTTAAGTATAAACAGTCTAGTATTTCTTCACTGAACGAATTACCAAACGAACCTTCCACTTATCGACATTGGTGCCAGCTGCAAATAGGGGATAATCCGATAAGCGTCATTTCGGGTCCGTTCCTTTCAGAAATGTTGATCCATCCATTGTTTGTGATAGGTCAGTCGATATTTTGTATATATCCTCTGTTCCTCAGGATTAACTGCCCCCCTAGGTGTCCATTTAAATCTATCGACAAAGAAGTCTCAATAATTTCAATTGAAATAATTTCCGACGACCTTGACAGAGTTTCGAAGCAAACGAATTTCAAAAGTAACAAATATCAACTCCAAGAACAAAATTACCCTCGGTGTAATGTCGACTCGCGGAGTCCTCGCGATATGACCGGCTATTCAGGCACGTTTTACCGGTCGGTTCTCGGTGCATCAGCGATCCTGCGCACGGTAAAATGCCTGTCCTTCTGCAATTCACCCGGCGTCTGTAGACGGGCCTGATGTAAACGTTTACAGTACCGATCGGAGAGCACTTTCGCCGAGTCGCGTTCGTAGTGGGGGAGGTGGGACTTGAACCCCGAGACCCCATGGGCCATATATAGTACGGTTCCATGCAGCTCTCTTGATACTTGGTGTCAGCTTCTCGGCGATCCTTGCTGTACTGGAAAGGTACATCGATTGGGAGACCTGATAAAGTTAAAGGTAAGACGTCATTGTTTCAATTTCATTTAAGATTGGCACGCATGTGGGAATACTCTGCTTAAATTAGACTAAAGAAAGGGACGAGTGTTTGAAAGTCGGTAGGCCGGAAGAAATTACAAGAGCTACGCATCTATGTTAATGAGATGAATCATGGCGTCATAACGCAAGCGTGCATCTTCGCCGTTACGATTGTTTGCCAATTTTACCTCGATACTACCTTCGATCGTACGTTTTTATATTGAAATTATTGAAATTGAATTGATTAATTTGAATTACGATTATATGCATTATCAGGGTTAAGGATCAGGATTATTTGTCATTTCCCTCGTCTAGACGCGCCATTGTCCTTTTACGGAGACTGTTTTTGTTGTCGTGAATCCGTTTCACGTTTCCCGCGTAATAGACCGGATTCGTTGTAATCAATTATTGTTATCTCGACCGATTGAACTCCTCGGAACGGAAGAATTTTGCTAGGCGCGACAGTCTCGATCATCGAGTACACACCTTACGAAGGAGAGAACACAGGAGATATTCTGCGCACGCTCCTGCCTCGGCTCTTTTGTATGCGCTCCCTCGATCTTTATCCACGGGTGGCGTTTACCTTCCCGGAGACAATGACGGTGTCCACCTGGTTGACACGTGGCGTGGATGTACTGTCCTCCGATGTCCCATAACTTCGAGGGAAAACACGTTTTTTGTCCCCGTTGGGAAAAGGTCTCGACGAGGTCTTTCCTGAAACTGTTTTCGTTTTTTGTCTGTTAGTATGTTCGAATGAAATTCATAATGTTCTGGGTGGAATTCTTAATTCTGAATCGTAAATTAATAAAGGATTGAGAGTTTGTTGTTTTCGGAATAGACGATTATATTTCCGAAATCGGTGTTAAAGAACTTGGAATGCAATTCTAGTACGTGGCTATTTATTAGAATTTATTCATACTGTCAGATGTGTGTTTTCAAGGATAGATTTTCTGTGATACTAATAAATACATTATACGTGTAGGAAGGGATTAATGGCCTCATTGTGAGACAGATTGCATCGTAATTTGTAGTTTCTGTTCAGCTTTGTTGCATTTCCAATTGAGGCTGCAACTGTCACTCGTATGTCAATTTATGATTTTTTAAGGTCGTGCGTGCGTTGTTCCCGAGTTAGATTTATCGATAATACCGCATGGGAAACAAAGGACTTTGAACCATAATATCTTGTTGACATGACAGTTTACGTGATGCCGGTCCGTATCCGTTTCAATGCCGTTATTATAACGAATCTGTAATGCCTACCTTGATCTTTTTCACTTTTCTGTCACCGTTGTTATTGCATCATATTTGCACCTTGAACAGTTATCCGAGTGTTTGGAACTGTGGCAGAAAACTGGTGAATCGCTCTCCGCCGAATCCATCTTATTTAATCCTTAAAAGCTACCCTACGAGAAAGAACTGATTTGTATTATAATTATCACCAGTCCAGCTATCGACTGGACACTGTTTCTATTCCTGATCCACCTAACTGGTTATCACCTTTGGTTATAGTTCCTAACACTAGTTGGGTGAAGTATACAGGTAGATACGTGAACTGAACATTTTTCAGATGAAGCTGTTCATCGCGTTCGCCGTTATTGGCCTTGCAGCAGGCCATCCAGGACTGCTGAGGGTACCGAAAGTGTACAACGCGGTGATAACGAGCAACCAGAATCTGTCACCATCCAGAGCGTTCCCTGTGATCCAGCCAGTGATCCATAAAACGGCGGTTGGCTACGTTCCTCCGTTTTACTACACGCAAGTCGCACCACACGTATCTGGTCCCGAATTGGTGCATCTTCCGCAAAGTGGGTTGAAGCCAAAGGACGAAGCAGACGTTCAGGCAGCCCCATCTGCAGCCGCGGAAGCTTCGAAACTATCCGACCCCAAGACAGAACAATCGGCAGATTCTCCACAAGAAAACAAGAACGTGAAAGCAAGTTCGAGGAACAGGCACGAAGAGCAACCATTAAGCTTCTACCCGAATTATCAGTCGTTGTACTACGATCCCTATTTCTACACGCAAAACGGGATCAATCCACATCTGGTTCCGGGGAATTACTACGTCGACTATCAACCTTACGGCACCCTCGACCCGATTCCCGCATCCACGCCGAGGAACGGTGACTCTGGACATCTGCTACCAGGTTATCACGAGGAGAAGAATAACGTCGCGAAGGTCGAGAAGGAAAAAGTACCGGATGTCCCCCCGCCGCCACTTCCGACAGCTGTACCGAAAAGTCCTTGAAGCCGTGGTGGCAACCGATTTTCGATTTGCCAGGAACTCGTTCCGTTGACGTCGTTGTCGAGATCAGACTGATTCGATGTTCTTTATTTTATGCACGGACGTCTTGATGACATAGAGGAATAGAGAAGTTCGTGAATGTATCCAGGCGTTGATCGATTTCGAGAAAATTGGAGTAGCCCGATGGGATTCTTGACCTTGGAATGATACGATCTTGAGAGAATATATGTGTAATGATTAGTAGAAGATTAATTAAAGGTAGAATTCAAATTTAAGTAGCGGATGTTCGACATTTTAATGTTAATGACACGATTGAATTTTCCGAATTAACGTTAATGAACCGTTAGGTGAACTTCGTGTCGTTCCAGGGTGGAGTCATTGGTATATTAGACTATATTTTTCATCTCGCCTAATTTACAGCTTCATTATATCTCTATCGTCGATTATATACCTGACAGTTTTGAGACGACGAGTCATTTTTCAAAAAATCACGCGATTGTGCGGTCGACAGGTGATTCCGTAAGGTCCGTAGGGACTCTAAAGACCTTGTTTGTGTGTAAAGGGAAAATCCAAGTGTACTTAAATACTATACATATAATGATACATGGTTTATATCGATGCAGCTGTTTACAATGTAAATTATTCTAGAACTATTCGTTGTATTTTATTCAATATTCGTCAGGCTGTTCAAGCCTTCTAGCAATGGCCGTTTGTTTTTAGAGCAGCATAGAATTTCACGTCGAACGTTAGCTGCTCGTTCCGTGTACCAGTTATCACGAGTTTCGGTTCACGCTGGTTCCCATGGCGTGCTTTGTACGAGATCTTCGCTTTGGTTGGAGTGAGCGGCACCGTTGTAATGCAGGCGACGCAGAAGGATTCACCGGCTGACGCCGTTAAATCTGCCTCGGCCATCGATGCCTCGTGCACGTGGATACGCAAATGGTGCTCGTAGAATAGAATTAAGCCCGGATTATTGCATTGACCCCACGAATGAACGTCAACCACAGGGCTCACCTGAACAATAAAGTATTTATTAATCGAGAGGTGGGTTCTTCTTCGAGCATTCAGTCGCAGCCATTCGATACTCGATTTTGCAGTGGAATATTCCTTCTTTCCAACGAATTTCCAAATATGTTATGATTAAAATACACCTATTCGAAGTACCTCGATATTTAATGTAAGCTGAAGAAAATAATAAAAATTTTCTACTTTCATCGTGTTTGTATGCTTGTGCGCTAGAAACGCTGAAAGTCTACGATCTAAGTCTATATACATGGAATAACCTGTTGGATTCCGAGGGAATTGACAATACGTTTTGAAGATAACTTTTAGAGACTTTATTAATACGGCTAGGTTCTGCATTCGACTAGTGAATACTGAGTTCTCAAGGCTCTGTGGCTTCGCGGGTTTTTAGTGGTCAAGGAAGAGTGTTACTAAGGGTACGAAGTACAGGATGATTCAGAAATCGAGATTAGGATGTTTTGGTTGAGGATGAGTCTATGGTGTTTGTTGTATTATGACTAATCGTGGTTGGTCATCCAACAAACCAAACACACGTGGAAAAATTATTATGACTAGACTGCGGATTCTTATGCAAAATAACATTTTCTGAAGTAATTCATAAAGACAGGAGCAAATGTAGAAATTTATTTCTCCATTGGGTTCAGAATAAAATAGAAATCCCGTTGGATCCGATGAAAGTTTTGTCTTTGATCGTATTTCACAGAGCCCTGTATCGTATAAATGCATAAAATCCGCAGTCTAATTACGACACTTACTGTAATTGATATACCGAGAGGTGTGACATTTAGTGGTGTAGTTTCGTCCTCGTCGTAATATTCATCATAATCATTATCCTCGGTGTTCGCCATTCTTGGTCTCTTAACGTTGTCACTAGCTTTCCTCGTCTCAGTCTGACTTTGAAGATCATTTTTGCCACTCGTTATCGCGTTTCTGTTCACAGGTTCATTCTGTCGTTCAGGAGAGGGCACGGTATTCTCCACCAGTTTCAAGCCCAAATCGTACCTCTGCGGGGATTCGGTCGTGGTGGATACATTCCCTTGGTATTTCCGGTTTATCTCGCGTTGTCGAGCGTAAAATCTCTCCATAACCGCTTTCCTCTGCGCGTAATAATCGTCGACGGTTTGCCCTTTGTTCGCTGTATTATCGACGTGACGTTTAATCTTCTTCATCGAGTGTTCGCCCACGCGCTCGTTGGTCTTCGAATTCTTCTTCTGCGTCAGCTTCAGCTTCTTGTGCTTCTTCTTCGTCGGTTTCAATTCGTTCTCCGAAATAACGCTCGCCTGAGACGGTTTCTCGTACGAAACGGTCGTAGACTGTACCAATTTACCGTCGTGCTCGTTACGATCGTTGTCATTGTCTTTTGTGGCTGTCGCATCGATGGAACGGCTCGTTCTACCATGTACATACAACCGTTTCAATGGTACCCGAATGAGTTTTCGTTCTTCCTGATCACTCGCCGCGGAACCTTTCACAGAAATGTCGCCGGACACGTTAGCGTTGTAATTGTTCTCGTCAAATTGCACGTAATACGAGGCGGCCGACGTTTCTGTTATCGAAATAATGACCAGCGCCGCGAGAAGACCGACGCACCAAACGTTTCTCACCGTCACGATCATATTTCCACGATTTTACGCGAACGTTACAGCACCGATCGAACGAATGAACGCGCACGGTGGCTGGCGATGCATCTTTAACCTCGGTTTATCAGCCATTTCTCGGGCGACAAGACCTCTTTGTTGCTATATAAATCCAAACAAGATAGCTAATTATAGAAACTCGCGTATAAGATCGAGCAATTTAATGGAACGGAACGACGAGGGGAAAATGGTGTTTCATAACCACAGGCGGCATTTTGTAATTACAAATCAATCGCGTTTATTGTTCTTCAGCAGCAAGCTAATTACGGTGGCTTCGAGTTTTACAGTACCTGTTGGAATCGAACGTTTCGGGGGAGAAGGGAGGGAAGTAAACAGGAAACAGTGTGAGCGTATTGTTTAATTCAAGAATGTTCCGTGTAAAATGCAAACGAATGAATTTTATAGCGACTCGATGGTGACGGCATTGTCGTCGGTGCTCTCCTCCATGTCAGTCGGTTCCATCGCTGGCTTCTCTGGCTTCTCTTTGTTATCCAATTTCTCGATACCGTCCTCTTTCTCTCCGGTTGCTTCCGTGGTGGTGGTCGTCGTCGGGAGTGTTGGTTTCAGAGGTTGCTCTGGAAGATGTGGTTTCACTGTCGGATATACCTATAAGAAAAACAATCGATTATCAATCTTGTACGACGGTGGTTTCTTAGAATCTTCGAAAGGTTCCCCCGTTTGAAGCTGCAGAAACGCTTGATACTCTCTAGGTCAACCGGGTAATAAACAATTTGGCACTTCTAGATTTTATCGTGAACAGTAGCGAACTGAACGCATAATTTTGGTGAAAATCGTTACGAGTGAAATTTTACCGAATTCTGCGACAATTTTCCGAATGAAAATACACACTTCGAAGGTAACATTGAAAGAAATTAATTTAATTATTTCTTACCGGAGCCAATGGTAATCTTAAGTCGTAGATCGAAGGTCCATAATAAAAACTGTAGGTCGGAATATGAGAGATCGATGATTTTCCACCAGCAATAACAGCCGCTGGAAGGGTGTCTGTGCTTAACTGAAATCGAGGCAGAAATCACGATATAGGTAATTAAGAAACAGTACACAGATATATTTGATAATCTGTTTAGTTATATACATAATATGGAGAGTAGGCGTTCTGGTATTGAAGAAGTTGGGGTTGTTGCACAGTTATGCCTGTGGATGGGTAATTGCTGACGTAGACATCGTGCCAAGTTGGTTTTGATTCGATCGACGCGACCAGTATCACAGCGATGGCAAGCAACGGAATATGGACCTTGAAAGATACAACGAAAAATTAAAAATCTCGTGACAGTAAGAGAATACTTGAATAACGTAGGTCGATGTTTTATGTATATATTCTTTATAATAAATGACAATGAGAATGGTATTTGCAATAACAAGATGGTGATAAATATACATATAGGTGATACAAGATGGCCATTTTAAGCAGCTCGTTAGCTAAAAAATGTCGATATAGCTCGAGATAAAAGAATCACAAATGCTTCAGGACATTCTTTGTAAAGTGACTCAGAGGTGACTTTGGAGGCTTGCAAAAAAGAGGGTCGCACAAAAACTCAGATGTCATCTCCTTGAAAGGTCTCCTGAATCATGTTAATTGGTCCACTAACGACAAAAACAATTGGAACGAAGGACAAATTACTGTGATGCAGAGTTCTTAGGAATCCAGTATTCTATTTGATAATATATTCGCCAATTTGACTTCTTTTCAGGACTATCGAGGAAAGCACTTGGATCGTCAAATATAATATTAATGACGTAAAATTATGTACTTTATCGTATTGTAAAAAATGTCCGGATAGATACGATAAGAACGTTCGTACAGATAATAGCGGGAGAAGCTCTTCAACCCTTATTCGAATTTCCAAATGTAAATGGTTCTCAAGAACAAAATAATAGAATTTTCATATAATTGAAAGATCAAGAAAAAACTTCATAATCCAAAGAAGGGTTAACTGTTCCGACGAATATGAACAGGTTCTGTGATCGGTGTAACGAGAAAAGATGAGAAGAATGCTGGGCATCTTCTCGGGGGAAAGCATACGATTCGAGATGACACGGAAAATAATGCGGTAGTTCGTTACAGATTGATCTGTTCCCTGTGTCGAATGAAGAAGCAGCAACGAGTGACGCGGACGCTTTTGATAATACGCTGTTTGGCTCGATGCGCAACGATCCGTGGCCCGCATACGAATGATCCTGAATCGTAAGTAACACGGAAACAGAGAGATTTCGTCGAGCGATGGTAACGGTGGTTCCCAAGAATTATTTATAAAGATGAAAAGAAACTGTCGAGATACTCCCAGGTAATTCTACACACTTAAAAAAAAAAAAAAACAAAAAAATCAACGATCTTTTGTTACATTATACTTCGTTGCAATGAAACGTAAAAATTCATCCGAATTCGAGGTACACGATAAAACTGTGTGCTTCTTTTTCGTCCCTAGAAAACTAGTTTCGGTTGAACAGCCGAATCACGACGAGTGTTTTTCACTCACCTGCATGGTGTGATCACAGCTTCGCGGTAGTCTCAGAAACTATCTGCACTAACCTGAATTTCAGCCCTACCCGCGATTTATATATTCCTCTTGGAGAGCAAACCTCCCCTCTCTACCAACCAGCCCAACTGAATATCATCCGTGATTGTTTTTTTTCCTTCGCTCCTACGCTTAGCTCCGCTGTCGTTTCCTCTCGATCGTGTCTTGCCCGATCAACGGGATACCTGCTCGTGATTCTTTCTTATTTCGTTTTTGTGCCCCCCCCCCCTTCCCCGTTATCTCGCGACGTAAGCATAATAATCAGAGAATTTAGAACTCGTGATGCGTGTTCGATGATCGACAATGCCTAGACTTTGTCACGTGCAACGACCAGGCCCCCAATTTGATTAGAGCAATACGAATTTTATTTTAATTACGCGTCGTAAACGTCCTGCCTTAGTAATTTCCAGGAAATTATCGCGACCAGGACGTTTTGCAAGTTTATTGCTTGTCTCTTGTGGGCTTTATGGAAATGCCGTGAACTCGTTCCCGGAGAATGCATTAAATAAATATGGCAAGTGGAAAGAAGAAAAAAGTGTTCACCAGGTATCGTGTCGACGTGCAGTTGGACGTGTATTCGTGGGATATTGTGCAGGAACGATTGTGAGATTTACATTACGATTTTTCATTGTTTCTGGTATGGCTTATTGTGTCCCGGAGCGGAGTGACTAATGGGAGATCGAAGAGGACCAGATACGGTGGACCGGTTGAGTAGAATACGAATGGTGGGTGTGGCATCTTCGATACCGAAAATCTACATTTCTAATGTCCTCAACCGGTGGTACATACTTGCCGCCGTGCCTTCGATTTTGATCGATGATTAATCGGAATCGTGGCGCGTTCTTCATCCTGAGTGGGCCATAGTGTACATTGAACCCGTGTAAATATGCATGTATTTCTATCGCTCGATAAACGCGATGAACTTGTGAAAATTTACTAATTTATAAATTAACTGATTTCATCACTTTCATATCGTGGATAAAAATTGCGAAGGATCTGAGAAAATGTATTGTTTTAATATTTTAATAATCGTTATAAGGAGTGTACAGACCAGTCACTTCGACTGGTTTGCTAGGTCTAGTGTTGAATTTATTATTTTAGTCAGTCTCGAGGTTGACTTCAAGCGGTCACTGTCAAGCGTGTTTGACGTTCTCTGGTGACGTTTTGCGTGTAACCTCGTCTTCGTTTCGTGGACGGATAAAGGTCCAGGGGGAAAATTGTACAGTTGGTAAGAATCTATACGACTGATTATGGCCGTTCGACGAGTTTAACGGGTCGGTAAAAAGCTCTTTCTCGTTCGCGCCGTATCGTTCGACACGGCGTCATCGACGTTATGCTTCTGAAGGTTGGTCGGCCGAAAATGCAAAAGACAACTTCCGACGGCGAGACATAAACAGACGGGACCGCGTTGACAATCAAGAGGAGGATGAACGATTGGGAAAGATGTCACGTTGACCTGTCCGGGTGCGTACAGCCACGTATTTATTCATGAAATTGCAGAAATTCTGATAGGGAGATAACGTTAGACGAAATGTCACGTGGTCATCTTTTATACCGACAATTGGGAATAATGGAAACTTTTTTAATCTTTTTTAAAAAAACGAGGAACGGTACCTATATTCGTCATGAGAACTCAATAATGTAATACAGATCATGAATACTAAATAGTATGTGAGTTGTCTGAAAATTTCCATTGGGAAAAACGAACGGACTTTCCTTTGTGGTCTACATTTGTTTAATATTAATCACGAACAGTTTTATTATCAATATTTCCTCATATTTTACTATTTGGTTGTCCCAAGGAAGGTTGCACGTCTGCAATCGTTTTGCTTCCTCTAATTTTTTCCTCGACCAACGCACGACAGAACCGATTTATCGGCAAGCAATGTCAGAATATATTCCGATGATTAATATCTTCAAGGTGTTTTGAAATAAATTCTCAGAGTCGGTTGATAAGAATATTCTTTTACTGCCTAGTTCCTAAAAAAACGAACAGTACAATAAAACCATTTATTTCGTTCAACGTAAACAAGGAATCCACTATCTCAAAGCATGAACACCCAAGTAACAACACAAATTTACCTTTTAGTACCTTACAATGTGTACCATCCAGTATATACCTTGGGAAATATTCATTGTCGAAGAATAAAATTAACATCTGTCCGACTTTGTATATGTATATCTTCAAAATCATCGAGTGTCTACACCTAATATTACACATATATTATTTTCAACCTGTAAACATCTTACAAAACCCCATTCAAAGTCGGACAATTGGGCTCTCTCCCTTGCAAGATATTTAAAACCCACCTTACCATTCGAGGGTTAATATCCCTCCGAAATTCCAATCGAAAAAGAGGAAAATGGCCGAGAACGTCGTTGTGGACCAGTTTAAAACGGAGCGCCGTTGTCAGGAATCGATAGAAGCAGAAGTTCGTGAGGCGTCGACTTCGCTCGTGGAGGTTCGCACGGCCACTAATCAATCCGCGGGAGGCTTTCGTGTTTATCAACAAGTGCCGCATACACCTGATTCGCGGGACACCCTTCCGTGACAATCCACGTCTCGTCCCGCCCTGATCGGCGGTGGTTAGTCGCGTTCCGTGCGTGTGGCAGGGCTCGCCCGATGGAATCGTGCCTCGAACTTCCAAGTGCGTCCTTCGTCGGAGAGCCTGTGTGACGGCGTGGTAAATCGTGCCATTGTGTCTGTGCTTTCCCAAGTCCGTCCATCGTCGTCGAAGGTTGCCTGTTCACGGCGCGTCTTCGCGGACCTTCCACGTCGTCTTTCCTCTTCACTCCTGTGTTTCCTCCACGCTTTCGCCTTGGTTTCCCGACTTTCTTCGCGTTGCGAATTTATTGCAGCCGCCGCCGCCGCCGCCGCGACTCTATTAATAACGAGAGACCCCGGTGTCGTTGTACGCCGTTCGTGTTTTCGACTTCGTCCAACGATGTTTCCTCTAGGATATATATCCATGTACGAGGACTCGGATCCGGGAATTCTTGGGCTTTCCGCAGTATCTATGGTCGATCCTTTTGTGGACTTGACACGGTAATATTTAACCCATTTGCAGTCGATTTCGAGGGCAAAGGGTTAATAAATTGGTGCGATTGTGTTTCGGACAGGGTGAATGAGTTGGTCTATGTTTGTTCTGTCTGTGGTCTATAATTTAAAGGAGGTCAGTTGTTTCAGGTTTTCACGAAATTGTAGGAATGTTTTTTGTTATAATTCGTTTCGGTGTTTTCGAAGCTGGATTTATTTAATACGTTGACGTGGATCTGCGTCACGAACAGGGGCTTAAGCCATACAGAAAGAAGAAAAATCGTACACCAACGCGTTAAGGGCTCTCGAGATCCTCGGTGGTGGTGTATATCGGTTTGGGAAAACTCCGGGATGACGTTCTTATATTTACACACTGGGCTTCGTCTTTCGAGCGCTGTTCCACAATGTCCTTTCAGCTGTTCTTCATAATTTAACGTCCCACGTTTTTTCGGGAATTAATGAGGGTTTTGATGGTAACACGGCGGCGGTACATTATAATCGCGTTTTCAATCTTTTGGCAAGATGATCGGGCTTCCGTCATGTATAGTAAACAATCTTTCTACGCGTGACACGTTGCAGATGTACGATCGTTTTGGAAACGAATGTGTTTCCCCAGTCGTAAATAAATTTCTAGATGATTACGTTATGTTACCGAAAATTTCGATTGCAACACCGAATGTGTTCTGCATTCGTCCTAGATCCTTCCTCGAATCGATCCACGACCAGAAGCTCAAACCTGACCACAAAATCCAACCCAGTACTTTCCACGAAATCGTCCGATAATCGGATAAATTTATACCTTTAGATGAGAGTAAAGATCATGTGAACAGCCGAGTAGCCTTTGTTTCAAACGATGACGATGACAATGGAAATTCCCATGTAGGGATACGCGTCGAAGGGACAGGTTAACGAAAAAGGATCTCCTCGATCGGGAGGATCGGTTGCGCGACGATGCACGGGGTCCGATTTTCGGAGGGTGAGCCCGAGAAGGGGGATGGCCATCGAAAATATGAGAAAAGGGGCGCGGTTTTCGGAAAGCGGCCGTCACTATAAATAGAGGCGCCTCGTGCGTGCGTGCTATGCTTTTAAACATAGTTTTGGCAGCGCGAAACGTCAAACCGCCTCGGAGTGGCAAAGCGCGTGGATCGGTACCCGCGAGATTTCACGGAAAACGGTCGATTATCCCCGTTACTCTTCCACGTTCTCACGGATCCGCGACCACCAGACCAGGCAGTATTGTTCTTCGTATCGAAAATGTGACATCGGTGATACGTTGTAAGAATACGTTTCGTTTCGGTTCGGTTCGCGGTTCGTCGATCGAGAAAAGAATCAAGAACAAAGAGAGAGAGAGAGAGACAGAGAAAAAAAAGAAAAGGTTCGTCGACAACGTCGCGTCCGAGATACGACGCGTTAAAAGTCGCTGCGTGCAACATTTTCAACGGAAGGTCGTCGGGTGTAATAATTTCGTAGAACGTTTCACGTGTTTTTTCGTTTTTTTTTTCTTGCTTCCTCGTGATTGTTAATTTTAATTGGCTGGTCGAGGAGACCAGGGGACAGTGTTCGAATCGAAGGTGTAAGCGCGCGCGCGCGATAACGTTGACGGGAACTCGTTCTCCTTCCGGGTCATCGGCGAGTGGTGCGTTTTTTCGACTTCTTTCTCGGGTGGGAGGGCTGGAAGTTAGGGGGGAAGGATTAAGGAAAGAGATAAAATGAAAAGTGCGTCGGAGAAGTGCGACAAGGAGAACCAGCGGCCGATGGAGGCGAGTCTGTTGGCCGACAACGAAAACGCGCAGGATGCCCAGGACGAAGAGTAAAAATCGCGCCACTAACAAAAACACACGTTCCCGCGTTTCGTGCGTGTGCCCGCCGCTACGCGTCAGGTTTCCGGTCCCCATCCGTTTCCGAACGCACATTTCGAGCCAATGGTCTCGCACACACGCTTACCCTTGTTTCGATACGGGACGGTCCTAACCCTTAACTGGTGAGGTTGAAATCTTATTTTACAATTATTACTAGACTGTGGAGGTTTATGGAAATAGGTCAAAATTTTGAATTTTGTACTGGGGGAGTAGTGCAGAAATCGTGATAATTAAATTATAATTTAACTTTTTCTGGGATATTATTAATACTAAACTAACTCTGTTGAGTGAAGTCGTCGGAAAAGGGGTTAAGTAACTATTGAATAAAAATAATGTGTTCATGGGGTTCCCCAGACTTCACTTCACCGGTTAAGGAATAAATTCGTGCTACGATCGGTAAAGGGTTGATTCTATACGATTGATTGAAAATTATTATCGTCTTTCCGGACGTGACAAAGGAAAGTAGATTAACAGGCAACGAATCGATCCTCTGCTTCGTTACATCGCGAATTTCGGACCATCCTGTAAATACACTTGACATGAGTAAAATTACAGGATACAGAGATTTATTCGTAGACGTATTAGACTGAGCAACAAGAATTTCACTCATCTCTGGTATTCACGCTGATACTTTCGTTTCGCCGGCACTTTCCACGAGCACCGGTAACATTTTTCCCTCGGAAGAACGATTAAAGGTTCCCGTAGGAAAGGGTCACCAACAAAATCGTACATTCGAAGAACAATGTTTGCAAACGGTGTTCCAGGAAAATATTTATTCGTCTGTTTGGCTGGTGAGAATAATTGCAAAATCTGCATTGGCACGTACGCGACACGGTACTGGCCAGAACACATGGTCACCGCTAGTTTTACGCGTAAATTACCAACAGTGCACCGCAACAATATTTATCGCCAATAAATTTCGATTCTTTTATTCGTATTCTGAGAATACAGTCTCCCGAACGTTAATATATTAGCGATTAAATTGATTAAAAGCCTCCGCGAAGTTCCTCCGAGATATCTTCAATAAACTCCTCTCCACCGAAAGCTGTCCAGCGAACGAAACGAGCTACTCCTCCCTTTATCAATTAACTCAGGATTTATCCCGCCACATTTCGCCACCTGTGCGAAATAACAGATCGTTCTGAATCGACGAAAAATCACGGCATCGACAGGTCCAATTAAACGACGAGAATAGAGGCGGAGGATCGGCTCGATCGTCGAAGATATCGCGGAGGAAGTGTAATTGGCCGCCTGTCGCTTAATTATTAATTGCAATAACGAACGCTGTCGGCCGTACGCTCTCACGTGGCCAAACTCCCTGCGTCTCCAACGACTCCTGCGCCGTTTATTTTCGAGCGTTTCTGCTTGTTATTCGACCATGTTAATTAACCTTGATGCGGCGAGAAGCGGCGCGCTTCCCGACGTTCGATTTTCATTTATGCGATATTGGCCTGAGCCGACGTCGACCAACAGAGGCTGTGTGTGGATCGTGAAAGGAGATTAACGCGCATTATGGCTCGCGATCTGGCCGCACGCCAATGGACTCTTCTCAATCGACCCCATCGTACCGACACCGCGACGCGCTTCCTCTCCGTGGTCCCCGGTTCGTTTAAAAGAGAGATTCGTGATTCCTGTGTTCTGTATCGCAGATACGAAGGGTTTCGTACGGGACGAATCGGATCAGCTGCCCGCGCTCCTTTGGTTAAGTACAAATGATGGCGAATGGACTTTGGTTTTAACCTTACCCCGAGTTACCCCCGTCGATTGTCGTTGTTAGCCCTCTTAACCCTTTCGTTCCGAAATTATGGAAAAATTACCAGAGAAATACTTTATTGTATTTTTCTGTATATTACGTGATGTAGAAAGGATTCATAAGAATATTTTAACATTTTGAAAACGATCTAACGCGCTGTTTTTTCATTCGTTGTCCCTCAATTATAAATTGCTTATAAGATAAACAAAAACAATTCCAGCTTGTACAGGTTTGTTTATTAAAGCATACTTAATTTCTCACGACCCAGTCGTAATTCACGGTTTTTTTTACACCATGATTATCTTCCCAAGCAAAATCGAGGATGACGTGATACTAGGAGGGCTAACTCGCGACCAAGCTGCGACTCCGAACAGGGGACGTCGACGGAATTTGTTTCTTTTTGTTGTACAGAATTTGACCTGCGACAGACCCGACAAGTTGATTTTTTTCTCGTTTTTTTCGCTTCATCAACGTTTGTCGATTTCTTACGCGCGAACAGGTGGGTTCATTCGACAACGAAAATAACGAGACTCTGTTTTGTTTTTTCGGGGCAAGGATACAGCGATCTGTATCGTTTCGCTGCACTTGCTGTGTGTTATTTTTGCGATAGCTTGCTTGCTGATCACTTATTCGCATGAATGTTTGTTTCACTGGCGAAATGCTTGCTCGCCCTGCAACCCTTTAACGATCACGTTCTTTCTTGTTACACCCATTTTTCATGCTGACCGATAATTGAGCATTCATTGTTTCGATTTTCTTGCGGTTTAGTGCGATGTCACCGAGCAATAAAGGCACAGACGAGGCCGTGAGCGACGCGCTGTTGGAGAAGCTCAGAGTTTGTGCGTCCAAGCCGCAGGAGGCTGGCGACACGTTCAGGAACGTCGCGGCCAAGATTCATGCACGTGTTACATCCACAGGTAATCAGAGTAATCACCCTTTCTTCTCCTTCAAGAACTCATTTTCTTTCCCCTTCACTTGTTTTGCATCATATTAACCCTGATCCATCCTTTGTGCAAATTTGACACATTTTTACCCTAAGAAATATAATGTTATTCGGTAATATGTAGGTAAATTTATCGGAAGCTCCGTGATTTTTATTTCGAAGAATTTGTAAATTTAACTGTTTATGGCTTCGTTATATTAATTCTTTATCACTGTGTCAATTTGACACCGAGGAGTAAACCATTCCTGCGTGAACCATTCTTCCGTTACCCTCCCTGGATCTTTTATACCCAGACCTATTTTTCTATATCTTGTAGGCTTCCAAAAAATCTGAAAAAATTCAGGGATACTTCCTAGGGTTTCTACATAATTCGGTGATTTTTAAAGTTGAATGTTAAATGGTGTTTCTCATAGCAATCCCTTCGTTTTGGAGATATCCAAGCGGAAAATTTTGCTCGTGCCTTAAAAGAGTCAGGATTGGTCACGGAGGGTTAAGTTGGAAAATTGAGGGACGGATGTGGGTTAAAATCAAAGTACATCTTTCAGATTCCGAATGCTGCATTAAGATTTCGAAGGCGTTGTAGAAATTCTTTAAGTTTTAAAATTAGGTTAATTCGAACGACTGCAGAAATATATTTCCTTTTTTTTTTTGAACTAGTTTTCGTGCAATGCGTTGCACCCTGCCGAAACCATAAGCGAATGCGGCAGCAAAGTTTTAAACGGGTCGAAACAGATTGGACACTTTAAGACGGGGCTCGTGCCGTTAAATTGCTATTTATATCACGAACCTCGGCTACCATTTCATTCCCGACTAATCACCAGGAACTTGTACAACTTATTATTCGTACCGTATATTACGATGGGTTGCGGGACCGTAATATTACCGGTCGCAGCATCGAGTCCACTCGAAACACTTCCGGGCCAGTTTTGCAATTCTTCTTTTATTCTTTATAGGGGAACCGGACTAATTCGTGTCCCCACGAATTCTCCTCCAAAACGTCGAACTCTTATAAAAAAAAAAAAAAAACTTCGGTCCTCGCGTGGCGTGTGTCACGTGAATAATAATAATAATTCCTGGAACCCGACATCGAGCCTTGAGCAACTTTCTTCATTGTTCTCTCAGCTAGGCAGAAAACGGACGAGATTCGCTTTCGGGTCACTTTCGAACTTGTTCCTCGTATTCTCCCCCACCCCCTGCAAAACTCATTTCACCGAGCATCCACGTATCCGAATAATAACCGGAAATGGTAAAACTGTCGGCACCGAAACGTCGAGAACGTAAAATCGAAACAATCGTAAACTTGGTTTCGCCTCGGATGCATTTCACGATAAACGCGTTTTCACCCAGGATGCATATCGCGTTTAATCGTGCACCCTCGCATGCTACCACACTCCCCCAAAGGGGTGGGTTATCTTTAACGGATAATCGACACTGAATTTCGGTAACGTGTTGTGTGTATATTTAGAAGCACGGTTTTATTTATCGCGAGACCTCTGGGATCAACGCTAGGCGATCGATGTTTTTTTTTATGTTTCTCTTTCGTGTGCACTGTTCGGAGATGAAAGAAAACGGACGCGACGACTTCGACGACGGATTCATCATAGACGGTCCTAGGGACTGGCGAACAGGTGGCGAACGTACGTGGGTAACGCCAGCCAGTCGTTCGTTATTTTCGCCTAAAGCCGGCTGCTCCCGTCGTCGGCCGATTGCATAAGGACTTTCGGTAACGGTGATAGATCGTTTGGACGTGGTCCAAGGGGCCGAAGCGATGCCGAACAATACACAACGGGGCGCGCGCGTTCGATCGTCCCAAAGTGTATTGCGGTCGTGCCAATTTGATAAGGACTTTCTGTCCCCGTGTTCACGTCGCTCGATATTTCTGCATATCCGAAAGCCACTGTCATCGGGTGCTGACTCATCGTTTACTCGCCTAATCGGCCCCGTTGCAAAATGCGAACAGAGGACGGATTCTATTGGAATTCTTTTTCAACCCTTTCGATACGGCCATATCTGCCGCGAAAGGTATCATACGTTACGAGGCTGTCGCACTGGTATTTTGGAGCAATAGAATATGTACTAGTCAATGCTTCTGTACGTTTAGATATTCAATTAATTGCTTGTCATTGTTTGTTTTGCTTCTTCGAACATATTACGAAAGCAGACGACTACCAGGCAATCATAAGAAATATAAACGAAGATTAAGACCAATACTGGTTCAAGTTATTAAATAATTGCATATACATGATTGTGTTTATACGTCGATGTCAATTTATTACATTACGGGAGACGTTTAATCAACCAAGAATGCTGGTGGCTACCGATAGCCCTGTGCACGATCAGCCTCTTGGCATGAAATATTCAATGTCCAGTTTTTTTTTCGGTGGATAGTGTTCATGGCATTGGGAACGATTGGCCTTGTGTCAACTTTGAAATGGGAGCTACGCGTTTCGCCAATCCACAGCGCGCCCCGGTGATCGTCGCATGGAGGGCATTGTTAGATTGTTACCTCGCACCTGTTCGTCCCTATTATTTATTATGGCAGAGATGTTATTGCGTTTGGCACTGGGAAACTACATCGGTCCGCGGGCAAATTTACATCGTGCTCGGTTGTTGGTTTTCAATGTGACTCGTCACGCCGGTTCTTTGGGACGAATCAATGACAATTCTGTATGATTGTACGAGTACCATAAAGTATTTATTGGCATCAAGAACCACAGAACGTCCCACGTAAAACGAGTCCCGCTGGTTAAGTACAAATCCACACAATTGAGAAAGATTTGTATTTGTATACCACTGCAAAAGATGTTGCAAATGACCTCCTTCTGCTTCTGTGAATTTTTCGCACGTGAAATCACGTTCACACTGGGCGTTAAATGGTTAAAATAATATGGGGTTTTGAATCGTTTGAAAACAAATACAAACCTAGTGTACTACTAATTGATACACCTAATATTTAAATTTCCATCAAAATCTTCCTCCATGTTCACTTCTATTCACTTCATAACCCATTCGTTCACCGTCATTCATTTTCCAATGGTATTCATAAATGTATAATAATTTTTCAGATCGACGAGTACGCGAGCGTACGGTGGACAAGTTATGGCGCAAGAATTCCGGGGCGATGGAATTATTCATCGCGACGCTGGAGGTGGGTGACATTTAACGTAACCATAATTTTCCCTGTTGCACGAGAATTTTTTGTCACCCCCTTGTCACGCTTCTGTAATTTTATCGCGGAATCCAGGGTACCCCTTAATCACCGTTCCCAATTCTCAAGGGGGGCGTGACCGAGGGCAACGTAGCTTTTTCAGAATAGTCGACGTTTAATCAACACTTCGCAGAACCAATTAGCCGGGGCGCGGATAAACCATGTCGGTCGAACGTTTGGTGCGCACACGGCATGGCGTGGTTAGGTCGCATCAACCCTTCGGGGACCCCCATTGTCTATCTTGTCGACGGAGGCTTCCTGCAGCGTGCAAAACTGGAAATCCGTTCGTTCCATTTTCTGATAAGTGTTGCACGCACGCGGTACCACGGGGCCTAATTAGCCCCGTGGCATTTGCCGCACGTCAACGTATCTCTCGATCGCTCGAACAGTTTCAATTGCAATGGTTTTCGGCTTGTTTGCATTCCAGTTTTGCATTCCAACTTCTTTTGTCCTTGTCTCTTCTATTTGGTTTAATACGTATGATGTCACGTCGATATTTGTGAAAAGTCCTGTTTGATGTGGTTTTCAATCCTGGAAGTTGAATTGATTAAGTTTTTGCCGTCAAAGATGATCGATTCGTTACAGAATTGCAAGGATCACGTGGTCAACTACAGCATCGCTGGTATACTACACGAGTGCATATCACCCCGTATCGCCAAGGGGAAGACCAAAGGGAACAAGAACAAAAGTGCCACGAGTAATAGCAATTTTTAACATTCTGGAAATTAGTGTCCCTTCTATTCGAGAAACTCTATTGTTTGTAGAAACTTAAGTTATTGTTGGGATTATTTATACCTTGGTAGATCGTATGATTGATCGTTCGTAATTTGGTCGATCCTGTAAATTTTGCTATCGTTCACAGAATCCAGCAGCCGAATGGCAGTGACGCAGCTGATCAATTTAGGCATCACGCAAGTCCTAGTTAAGCTTTTAATTAACCTGCAACATGCGGACACCATATCGAGCGAAGTCCTAACGCAGGAAGTACTCTGGATATTGGGCCAGGTGAGGCGTGGCTCGTTATCCTCGTTAGATTCCTCGAAGGATGTACATTAGCATTTTATTCTGATAAAAATTGCAGGTGGTCCAGAGGGACCAGAAATTTGCATCGAAGATGAAGATGCTTAACACCGTCAAAGTGTTCCACGCGCTCCTCAAGCAACATTACAACAACAGCAAAACCCTGTTGCCCTTGCTGTTGATCATTAAGTGTCTCGTTAGAAATTGTGAGTAATTTTTGCCTGTCTAATTCCTGTAAGTTCCCTATTATTTACTTAAAGTTTCTTCTTCTGGTCAGCATACACTCTTCAGGTATTGGTGAAGGACGGGATCGCCAGCACGTTCGAGAAAACGTTCATCTCCGTTGGTTACGCGCCCCATCTGAAACTGAAGTTGTTGTTAGAGTGTTTCAAATATTGTACGATGAACAGTACGTATACAGGAATTTATGAAACTAAAACATCAGAACTATTGTGCTTATACTATAGAACTAATTCAATTGTATTTGTAGAGCTCTGTTGCACGAAGTTCGTGAAGCTGGGCATGATGTACCTGCTGATGCGGATCTTCGACAGATGGGAGCGATTCGACGGTCCGTTGAGACTGAAAATCTGCAATTATGCACTGATCAGCATTCAGCATCTCTGCGTCATAAGTGAGTTCAACGGTGTCGACCTTTCCGTCCTTCGAACTACGATAAATATCTGTCAGGATGTGCGAATCTATAAAACATAAAATGTGATAGCTTAATCCTTTGCACTCCAATAGTGCTGCTACAGCAACATATATCGCCGTAAACTCTATATCTTATCGATTCAATACAAAATAAATTTCGTTCCTTGGGAAAGCACAACTTGTTAATTTCTTACTCAATTTGATAGTTACCATTCAGTTAAGATCAAAAAATTTCGGAGTGTAAAGGCTTAAAGTGATTCCTCTTCGGGCCAGTAGCTATCGACTTCAACGTCCATGGTAGTCTGGACAAAATTTTCATTATCGTTCACTTCGAATGAATAAATAACTGGACATTACCTTTATGTGCTGTTTCTATTCATCGTCTGCTCTTCGAGTAAAATTCTCCTTGCCTCTATCACTTGCGTAACTTCTATGCAAATCGGAATACCACTGTACATTCATCGTCTTCTTTTTGTAATTCTTTCATATTCCCAATGACGCCCGGAAACATTGATAGTGTACGATTCTAAACACTAAACATGTAAATGCACGTCTCAGACGTTCCTCGAAGAGGTGATTACACGCGCCCTTTTCGCTCGTTTCAGAAGTCGGCAGGAAGGCTATCAAGTGGAACAATGGACTGCAAGTGTTGTACCGGTTCTGCAGCAACTGTCCGGAGGATAAAGCGTACGATTGTCTCCTGTCCCGTATATGCGGTATCATCAATCAGTGTCTGGAGAAGAAGGAGTTGCCGGTGCCCGAAATGTCTCCGGCAAGGTGAACGTAACCGTTCAAGGTCGGCCTCGAATCGATCGAGGCTCGATCGATCCTTGAAATGTCGATCTTTTCCTGCAACGGTAGTTTATCGTCGATCTCCGATTAACGGTTCCATATCCGGCCGATTTTTATCGGAACGCAAGACGCAAACGGAATAATATTATCGAACTCGGTATCGTTAAACTCGAATTTAGAAATGATCATTGTCCCGGGCCTGTTAACGCTGACTAAGAACCGTGAACGCTCTACTTCTTCGTGCTGCCAGATCTTTAATCATACGTTATAAGTGTGTCGAAAGCGTCCTTCACACGAGAACTGGACCATGTTGCGTAACCTCGATCCGCGTTGGTGTCGAATTATACGTGAATTTCTTGCTGGGTGAACAGACGATAACACGTGTCATTCGGGAAATTTTACAGATTCACGTTGCCGGAGGCGAACGTCAGGCCTAGCAGCGCTGAAAGCGGCAGCGACATCGACAGTCAGGTGCGTATTTTCGTCCGGCGAAATTATGTAACCCGTGAAACGTTACACTCTGACGATACACGCTCTCTGGTGTGGCTTTAAAACATCGAGCCAGATCGTTGTTGTTCGAACATTTGTTTCTTCTTTTTCTCTCTCTCTCTCGAGATCATTGTGTTCGTGATATTTGATTTTCGGTTCGATCATGGCGGATGAATTTTTTTCAGGCGAACAGCGTGGCTTCCATGGGGAGATTGTACAGCGACCTTGATTCCGGGGACGAAGAAGAGAACCAGAATTCGAGGTCGAACGACACCACTATGCACACCGCCGACGAGGTGGACGAAAGTAAATTCTTCGCGGGCGTGTTCACGTCGCAGAGAACCGAGGAAGACCTTAACGAGTACGTTAACAGTGATCTTAACCCTGGAATAATGCCATGACATTTTCTAAAATCTCAGAAAACCGTACCAACTGAATGCTAGAACATCGAGTTGCGATTTGTACAGTGATTCACACATTAGTCCACAGAGACTTCTGCAATAACAATTAGTAGTCAAAACATTTCTATAATTTTTGTTCATATATTATCCTCATCGTTACTCTTACTAGTACCTTTACTATCGTAGAAATCAGCACTGTCGGAATTAATGCCGATCAGACATTCAAGTTCCCTCAGGTAAAATGTTCCATTGTTGGCTACGCACAGGTACACTGTCTTCTTCAAGGAGCTAGGCAACTTGTCTCAGCTCTGCAAGTCCTCCTCGGAGAAGCTGGTGCTTGGCGACCCTGCAGAGGAGAACAAATTAAATTCACGCCTCGCGAAAGGGTTCAGAACCACTATAAAGTACGCGATGAAGGAAGGTGGGAGTGGCAGGTGTTCACCGGAGAACGTGGTCAACACGATCAAACTGTTCGAGAACATGTCGTCGAACATGACGGAACAGCAGGCGTATTGCGTTGTCGCGAGTCGAGTCAGAAGCGTTATCGATTTCGTGAAGGTCGCTTACCCGGATCTGGTCGGCGGCGATGCGCTCGGTAAGGAGGAACCGTTGAACAACAAGGACAGATGGGTCTGTCGATCGAAGCTGCTTACCTGCGTGGAACGGGGACTTCATGGTGGTACCCAAATGCACGAGGTGGTGTACGATTTGGATGCCCAGGCTAGCTCTGTCCTAGAAAGCCGAATCTCGAGCGACAGCCATTTGTGCAACTGGGATGACAATAGAATAAGAACGCCGTGCGACGACACGAAACACTTGCATTTCGAGTCCAGGTTCGAAAGCGGCAACCTGAGGAAAGCTATTCAGGTACAATTCTACGAGTGTTTTATATCAGTTTTTATATTCTCGGAACCTGTGTTCACCGTATGCTCAAGATATACTTTCATTGACTTCTATCGGGTCGGATTACACGTAACTACTATAAGGTCAATACTGATAGTTCGGTTCATTTTTTGCGTAGCTTAACGAATATAGATTATATAGTATCTACCAAAATACTTTCCTCGCTATCTAGATCTTCAGTTAGTTTCGACTCAGCCGATACATATCGCGACAAGCCTGCGCCGTTTCTTTCCAATCCTCTTCCTCGCAGATAGGCCTGAGAGAGTACGATTTGATCCTGACGCCCGACGTGAACAGCGGCTCCAGGCATCAATGGTTCTACTTCGAGGTCTCGAATATGGATGCAAACGTCGCGTACACGTTCAACATCATCAACTGCGAGAAGCCAAACTCACAGTTCAATTTCGGCATGAAGCCGATCCTGTTCAGCGTGACCGAAGCCCAGCTGGGTAGGCCAGGATGGGTGCGAACCGGCGCTGACATATGTTACTACCGAAACTGTTATCAACGACCAACAAAAGGGAAAAATTACTTCACCACCTCGTTCTCCGTGATATTCGCACACGTGAACGACGTCTGCTATTTGGCCTACCATTTCCCCTACACGTACACTCAGCTGATGACCAATATCTGGAAGTGGACCAAGAAGGTCCCTGCGAACGCTTACTTCCGTGTGGAGACACTCTGCGAGACATTGAACGGAAATGAGAATCCTTTGCTGACTGTCACGTCGTTGGACTCGAAGAGCAATCCCGTACAGGTGAGTGTTGCTTCGAAGACTTTTTCTTGGGGGACGAGAAAACGGTTATTTTTGTATTAGTTGCAACTACTTTAGGGATCGGTGTGAAAGAAATCTTGACAAAAATGTTCATCAAGAATAAATAAGAGCCACCCCAGCGTGTATATTGAAAGTTTTCATTAAAGAGTAATCGATAGGTCTCCACTCTTTATTTTCCTGTTTTTCAGAATCGTAAGATAATATTCCTGACGTCGAGAGTTCATCCAGGCGAGAGCAACGCTTCCTGGGTGATGCACGGTACTCTGGAGGCGTTGTTGAGCAACAACACCTACGCGTCGAGCTTACGCGACGATTATGTGTTCAAGATCGTGCCTATGCTGAACATCGAGGGGGTGGTGAACGGTTGGTGAGTAACACCTGATTTACTCTTACAAGAACTTTTAAGAATTGTATTCGTACCTTTATTAATATTCAATTACACAAGTTACACATTCGCGCCGTGTTTACGCAATGATAATTCAAGATTGCGACGACGACGACTTATATCCGTTAACGGTTTAAAGAGTCGTGTTTCTCGAACTACGCGTGTGCCGAATTTCGTACGTCTGGATGATCGAAACGTTCCAGAGCCGCGTTTCAATGATCACCTAAGATCGTCGATATCTCGTTTCCCCTGGAGCCTGAACAGCCCCTTCTGATCTCGTTCAAACACACCAGACACAGGGATCGAATTGAACACGCTCGATCGAACGGTTCAATCGTGATTCCTTTTCTATATTTAAACATTCGAATGCTTGGATGAACGGGGCCAGATCATCGATCCGCCGTGAAACGTTTCATCTTGCAGACGTACGGAGTTATTAACGTTGCCTAAGATGATTACTTCGATACGTGATGAGATGGTTTGTGACGCTGGCGGACACCCAACCCTGCACCCAATAATGATTCCAAGTTAGCCTTATCTAACGATAATAATTCCCACTCCCCCGCCGTTACGTTTCCTTCGTTTCCCTGTCTTGACGCCTGAGATCCAACGCAGACCGAGTCTCCTCGTGTTATTATTTATTATCTACGAGCTACGAGCGAATAGCCGATAATTAATGCAACGAATGTTAATTCCGATAGAAGGCGACCGAAGGATAGAAGAAGAACGGAACAGCGGGGTCGATAGCGTACGCGAATATAATACGTCCGCCAGCGTCACAGAAATGTGCGATTAAGGATCGAAATTTCATGATCGCGCGTGAATGCCCTTGCGAGAAAATATTCGGTTATCGTCGAGAATCCTCCACCAGAAAGTTCTTATAGACGTTGTAAGGCTTCTTGCAAAATTTACGACACTTTCTTGAGCAAAATCACGGTAAAGTCGTCAGCCTTTCTCGAGTATAAATTATACATAAATTTCGAAAGTAATCCTTCGCGGTTTCGGATGATATTTTCAACCTAGTCCGAAAAATCCACCCCCCCCCCACCCCACCCCACCCCTGGTCGATTAGAAATCCTCGACGATTCGAAAACGAGCACAACTAGAATTCCTTGAATCGGAAAATGAATGATGAGGCGATGAATAGAGAGGGCACACGATCCCTTTACTCGTGCGTCGGCGAGAATCGGGATCGCAGCCCATGCGGCGACGACACGGATATACACATTATGATAACGTACGTAATAGAAAATCTAGTTCGATTCTCGGGATTCTCTCCCCGTGGTTTCGTATTTTTTCTCTTCACTTATCAACGAATAACGCGTGACGATGCCTAAATGCGGTGAAGCGTTTTTTTTTTTTTCTTTTTTTACTTGGACGGAGGATCTAATACTTTGCCGTTGCTGCGCACTTTAATGTTGTACCTGTAGGCCGGTTCCGCTTCTGGCAGTATCGTGCTGCTGTCGTCGTCCAGATCCTTCATCATCGACGGCTCCGCGGCCGACGCGTCCGGTTGATCGTTCTGGGTGTAATCCTGCATGCTGTCGTACGGGCCAACCGTGTGCGCGTCCTCGAGACCGTTGTTCGGCGACTCGGTCTCCGATTGTTGGATCTCGAAGTAGTCTGGCGAATCTCGATGCTCGACCTTCATGTCCGATGACGAACGAAGGGACGAACGATGAATCTCCCGTGTTTGTAGACCCTCGAACACGTTCTCCTTTCGCGCCTGTGGGGCGGCGGCTGGGCTGTCGGTGAACAGGCTCGCGATGTCAGGAAGATGATCGGGTCTTGTGTTGTCCAGTTCAGGATTCGTCGGCTCTTCGTGGCCCTCGGTGACTATCGGCGCGGACGTCGACGATTTGATCGATTGCGGCTGATGATTGTCAGACGCGGGAACGGCCGTGGTGATCAGCCTGCTGACGACCGGGTCCTCAGGTAACTTCTCGTCTACGACGGAGCTCTTGTCCTCATCCTCTTTCTCTTCCACCGGCGTTCCGTTCTCTTCGATGTAGTCCGGGTGCTTCTCGTTCGTGTTCGCGATACTATCCTCGTAGTCGTCGACCTGGTCGTCGCTGGCTGGCGTCGTGGTGGTTGTTATGTAGGGTCTGCGATTTCTGGAAATCCGTCGGAGGTCTCAAGGGAAGGTTGCCTCGGTGGAACGTGGACGGAAGCCATAGATCTTCAAACGGGGGGAAGGAAAGACTCTTCCCTCGTTTGCGGGGTGGGGGATAGGGAGGATCGTTGACTTTGAGGGGGATACATTTGGAAATTGGAAACCGTAGCCTGTATATTAGTGATGGCGATACATTTATCATAGTTACAAGTGAATTAGAAGTAATGAAATACGTATTGAAACCAATGATTAAAGTAGACAATTGAATTGATTGGTTGTACTAGCTTCACTACTCGAAAATACTGTGGTAATAGACAATCCAAAAATGAAAATAAATCATTTATTTGAGCAGATATTTAATAAGACAGATTCAGGTAACAATGTGGAAAAGAAATCGACCAATCATAAACTTTATGGGGTGTTCGAAATATCGATATTGTATCGTCCATCACTACACATATACAGTGTATATCTGTTGGTATTAGTCGCTTGTGGTGTTAGAAGCATTATTCGTCAAGAAAAAGTCCGGAACCACTACCAGTATACGAGGTGTTTCGTAGTACGCGCGTGTAAGTTGAAGTTGTGTACCGCGTATTATCGAACACCTTATGGTTTAATGTTAGGTCACCAAGAAAGTTTATACTATTTTAAACAATAGAGATAAATGTTTGGCTTCTATTATCTTTTCCCAACGATCTAACAATTTTTCTATTCTCTTTTGATAAAAGTATTCCTTTCTGGTATCGAAAAAATGCTTTAACCCCCTTTCGACGTCTCGTCGATTTTGGAATCTCTGTAACCCTGGTACTCAATTGCATTCATAAAGTGAACAAACCCGAATAACTGATTTGGACACAGTCATACTACGGTCACTTGTTCAAAACATTAAATAATTCATTGACAAAGCTTAGAAACTGGAAGGAACTTTCTTGGTTACCCGACAATTAGTGTAGCTATTCGAGAAGATCGAAGTGCATCGAATTCGTAAAGGACCAGTAGTGTCCACACTTTTTCACACGTGTAATGTGTGCTGTGTTCCCTGACGTTTGCGAGAAGCGAGAGAAGCCGTTAATATATTACAAGCTAGCATTACGTATTATTGTATTTCATCTTCGAACCGACGGTAAAGCAAAAGTGTCCTTCGTCACCAAGATTACGTCGTGATTCCCAACTACCCATTGTCTATCTTACGTTCTTATTCAATCTACATTATTCCATAAAGCGTTATCATCCGTTTCGTTAATTCGTACGAGTTGCACGGATAAAAAAACTTCCGACCGGATCGGTCCACGTTGATCCCAGCTGGAATCACTCGATCACCGATCCTATTGCGTTCTACGAAAACAAAATCTTGTTTGCAGTTATCGTGCTCTAATCAGTACATCCGACGTATTAATTTGCATACGAAACGTTCTGTGGAACATTTCGTAAAACGTTTCGACCGGTGAAAAGTACCAGATCTTACGAGGCAAAGCTGTGCAATTCTATTACAACCCATAATCACGTGTGCGTAGGCCAAGTCATCGCCAATTATCAACCCCCCGTCTTGCATATATCTTATCTCCCGTTTCAATTTTTTTGTCCGTGCTCCATCGCGAGATTCACCTTGGAAGAACACGTTAAAATCCTTAGATAGTCTATCTCTCTAGTATCTCCCTCTCTTTCTCACTCGGCAGTTTTGTGTATTTTTTGTGACAAGTATTATCTCACCTCTTACCCCTGAGTCGCAGAGACTGGAATGCTGCCGTAGTTGTAGTAGTAGCATCTTGTCTGCTCGCAAATGAAGTCCTTAACCAAGGTGCAGTCCTGCGCCTCCCATGCTAACGTGGGCGCGACCATCGCGACGCATCCGTCCGCGCTGCCGCTGTCGCCGCTGGAATCATATACGCGTATACAAGTTCCGGATTTGAATTCAAATCACCCCTCGGAGCAGCCCGTGGTGTGGGTATATCTATACACACGGCTAATAAATTATTCGATGCACGCGTTTCCGGGTCGGTGGTACGGGAAGGGACACCGATAATTATCGTTCGTGACGATGAATCGATCCTCCGGTCGTATTGTCTTCCCGGCCAAGATGACCCCAGGCGACATTCTAAACGTTCGTCCACAACCGCCTGATCTTTGTTCTTTACGCGATGTGCACTTGACGCTCGAGTTCCGGTTCCAACGAGTCTTTCGACCGTTCACGGTCGCGTAGTTTAAGGACAGGTGCCAGAGTTCCCTCTCCCCGGAAATTCGTGTCTACCTTTCTAATCCAACAGAGCTCGATCATATCGAGACTATGCATCCAATCGGGACTATGTTCCAATCGAGACGATCGGTTTGAGAATGAAAGGGTGTAGCCGGACGTGGGGGTCGTAATAGGGAAAATTGAGAATATGCGATTTTCCTCTATTTCTCCTATTCAATCGTAGTATATGAGGAAAACTTCCAGTTTTATCTAAAACAATATACAATTCTAGCAATGGAATTCTTCACCTCCGATGTATGTATATTCTCGTAGTTTGTGGAAGGTTGCTCGAGGCTCCGAGGAAAACGATGTAGCAAGGGGGATCCCGAATTTAATGCATCGAATTATTTTCTTAAGGACCAGACGCACGGATGTTTATCGCCGGTGAAGATTTTACGGCTGTTGGTCATTACCTTTCGCGCGCTACTCGTTGAGGTTCGGTGCCAGGTGGAACGTCGGCGGGTCTGTTGCCGGGTCGCCTCAACATGTAGTCGAAGGTTGCGTTGAACGGAAGACCCGTGCTCATCCAGAGGAACATGTCGGTGCCGAGCTTGTTGCCCGATGTCCAGAAATCGTACTTCACGTAGCCGGCGTTCTTCAAGTACTGCGTCATCGTGTCCGCTTTTTCTTTCGTCTCGAAAGAGGCCAGCTGAAGACCGAGGGAACGACAGTACTGATAGGCGAGGAAGTAGTTCAATTCGGGGCTGTACGGGTTCATCCTTGAGACGAAGTATTGCACGCCGTCTAGCTGGATCGTTGTGATCCTTTGAGCTGTAAATTGGTCTCAATTAATACGCCACTCAACACACGTTTGGTATTCGTGAATGTTCAAACGCCTGTTAAATGCGAGTTATCAATCAGTCACGATCGTTAACCCTTTAACCGTTTAATGCCCAGTGTTGCAACGGTGCAACGCTCGTTCTAAAAGTGCGTAACTTTTGTCAGCGAGGATGCATGTTTGCACAGATCTCCACGTTTTCGGTTTAGAAATTCAAGTATTTCATCCATAAACATATATAAAAGGAAAAAAATATGAAAAGTGTAGGTCTGTTTAATAACGATATTTTCGACTGCAAAATAGCAAGATACAACATATATATCAGTCTCATAATTTTGATATAACGATTCAAGGGCCGGGGCATTTACCTTTCAAAAATTATGAGTCTGATATATATGTTGTATCTTGTTATTTTGAAGTCAACAGTATCGATCAATGTTTTTTTTAATTATTTATAACCCTTTAACGACCAAACACCTCTTCAAATATGATTTCCTAGATACGACGTATCCTTTACACTAAGCGCGAAAGGATTAACAAGAAGTCATTGAGGTCACGATCGTCAAAAAGAATACGGTTCCAGAAATTCTGAAGTCTAAGAACGAATAGTATTCTTTTGAATAGTCACAGAATTAAGAATGCATATATTCCTATAGCCTTTTCACATCGAAGATCCCAGTACCGCCGGAATCTATACAGGTGTCGCCGTCGATTCATTCGTTACAAAAGCGATCGATCGACCATCCAGAAGCCTCCGTCTGGATAGGGCTGACTATGGGGGGATGAATAAAAAAAGGAAAATTCCTTTCTTGCTCCCGTATTATCTCATCGAGGCACGTATCCCACCGTTCACTTCCGACCAGGCCACAAATGGCAGCGGCCATACGCGGGGGAAAAATCATCCCGTGAATTCTAATCTACCCAGGCGTCCCGTTTTAGCGTTGTCGCGGCGTTGAACCGTTACGCTTGGAGCGTCGACGAGCAATTGCATCGATTAATTCGTGGATGGACGGATCGCGAAACGAATGGTCAAATGTCCTCGACCCATTCAACCGAAAATATTTTTCTTCTCGTACCAGTAACGTATATGGTGGCCCCTCGTCAATTAACCTCATGACGCCAGTTATGGCGATCGCGAAGCTTTGTTTACAGTGCTCTCTGACCGTGCATACCACGGTGCCGAGTTTCCTAACGCGTGCGCAGCTACGAATCATTCTCTCTAACGCGATTTTCATTTACCTTTGGCTGTGTGTACACTTCACTGACGCGGTTCGTTTCAGCCCAGGCCTGTTTCGCTTGTCCAGTGACACTGTACATTAGCGTGAAGCGGCGCGTGGTGTTCGCACGATCCACAACCGCTCAGGGTTCATTGAACTTGTACGGTTATTTGGTTAACAGTATTCATGAATTACGAACCCGTTTAGACACCCGAATAGCTACGGGACGACTAATCCTGCTAGCGAACCTTTGCTCGGCGTAGAAAAGTCGCTTTGAGTGAAATTTATTCGTGAACATTTTTTCGAACGTTCGATAGTCTCGTTGATTTCTTTCCTTGATTTGTCAATTAAAGAATATAGCGAGCTTCTTGAAACGAATATACATGGAGGGCACAGATTTATGGATCGTTGTTTCGACCAAGAATGTTACGAACAAATTTAAAAGTATTTCGAGAATGCGTGGGAAAATAAATGCATCGAAACTGTTCGAGGAAGTCGCACGTAGGAAATAAAATCACGCTGCGAGATCTTCGTAGGGTGCATCTGGTGTAAAAATGTTACGGATCGCAGAGCCGTCCGGCGCAGGTGGTGGTAAACGACCTGAAGGCCTTGAGACGTCTGCCGGCCAGTGTTCACCGCGAAAGAAGACGCCTGCTAGACGCTTTCAGCCGCGATCACATTCAGGAATTATTGCCACTCGGCGTCGCAATTAACGAGACTACGACGGCGATAAATCGACAGTGTTGACGTTCAGTGACTACCTACTAAATAGCAAAATGTTTGGTAAAAGTGACGAAAAAAAAGTTATCATGAAACGTAACGTTGGATTATGTGAAAAATTTGATATTCGATTATTTCTTTTAGTAATTTTATCCAATGGACGAGAAGGGAATAAAGATTAGGCTAAGTAGCAATTTTTATGCTATCGCGCGACACGGATAGAACTGGTAGAGGATCGAGAGAACGACGGACAAAATGATCTTGAAAGTCGCATGCCGTGATCAGCGAGACTGCACGTTTCCTCTTCAGCCGTTTGAATGCACCGGACGTCGGAGCCGACGTTTAGCCGGGGAAATAAGAGTACGAAGAGAGTGAATGTCGTCGGACAAAGAGAGGCCAGGAAACCATGGAAAACATCGACGTAGCACTGACCAAGGATCACTCAGGGGATCCTTCGAACGAGAAACATTCCTGTTGGCGGAGTTCCAACGAGGAAAGTCATCTCTCTTAAACTAATCGACTACTAAACGAACAGACACAGATTCTCTACGTTCACTCTAAATCGATTCAACGACCTAAACACGAATAATTCAGTCTCCAAATTAAATTCTAATCTGACAGTTTCTCGATTAAAGGTCCAGTTTCTTGGTCAAAGAATTTCTGATTCGATAGAAAGGTCGACGCGAGGGCCACGAATCCCAGATGCAGGTACCTAATGATCCAACGCATCAAGATTAAAAACAGCCTAGTTCAACGTTTTCGAAATACGTAGCTAAAGAAACCAGTCGTTTAGGTATAAAAAAAAAAGGAAAAATGGGTACCGACCTGAGGCGAAGGCCGCGACGGCCAGTAGCAGCAGAGCGATCTTCATGTTGCGCCGTGTGCCGATTAATCGATCAAGCAGCGGTTTCCGTTTCCGACTCTCGGAATACACCGGATGTTAGTGTTAGGGTCGCGTTCTCGGACTGGCCTCGCGCTGCGCCGTGGGCCCCCTTAAGAGTCTTCTGCCCGGATCCCCGAGGAGGGGGTCGTTGAAGATGATTCACTGGCTAACCTAGAGCAGGACGAGCGAACCGAGGGGAACCGAGGCGAGCGTGCCCACGAAGGGACACGAGGAGGAGGGGCACGAGAGCGGGACAAGCGCGAGAAACGTCGACCAGGCGGGGGCATACGATCCGAAATGTAATCGACTTCTTCGTCTTCGTCGTCTTCGGACTCGTGCAAAAAACCGGCAAGGTGACAAGGTCGGGACGGATGAAGAAAAAAAAAAATAGACGAGCCATAATGGACGTGTAGAGGATGATGTAGTGCGCGCATGACTCGTTGACACAGGTCCGCGAGCAGGAACTTTGCCCTCTGGGGAAGGTGAGATTTCACGATAGAGTCAAGGTTCATGGGGGTCACTTTGCCGAAACCTCGGCCAGGCGAATATTGTTCAAACATGGACGAAATGATTCCAGGAAACGTTTGACGTCAGATTGTATAGACCGAACGCGAGGCCATTTTTTCTGCTGTTTATTCTTCAAGTATTTCACGGTGTATAATGAGGTTGGTGGATAGAGGAATGTCCATCGCGTGGGAACTTGACTCGAACAAGATGGAAGTTTACCAGGACGGCAACACTTTCGGTTCGATCTCGAAGACAGTGTCGATGGTGTCGATGGGGCTTCGTGGACAGACGAATCGAAGCTGGTAGCCGGTTTACCAGCCAAGCCACGAGGGAATCGTGTTTGTTGGTGAACACCGCGATGTCGACGGCGCTACCGCGATCTATTTGGAGTGTGCCAGTGTGCGCACGCTATTAATAAACGGTGTGTCTGCCCGGCCTGTTATTTAGTTTGCTTTACGCCTTTTTTTTCTTCTTCTCTTTTTCCGGCCCGTAGTCGATGGAATTTTGCCGCGGCGTCGTCTGTTCATGGTCTTCATCGTCCTGAATGGAATCGTATCGACGCGAGATGCGCCGAGCGCGCAAGAAAAAAAACTTTACCGACCGCTTCAAGGCGGACTTGATTTCTTCGGAGCGTGCCCCGTTTAACGTTACCATCGTGCGCCCCGCATACCATCCCTCAAAATCTCTGTCCTCGATCGTAAACGATGTCGTCAGTCGCGCTGGTTAACGATCGTATCGTTGACAGTGTCGTTCCAAGGAACGTAAATCGCGTCTCGAGCACGAAAATTCAATATCGCGACGCGAAATTACTCTTCACCTCTCTCCCCTGTGTAATATCCAACGGTTGGAGTTTATTCCTTGAGTGTTCGTTTTTCGATTTATATTTCGATTTAGCCCCTGACCATTCGTGTATGTGTGCTTGGAGATCCAGCAGTTAATTCCATCGGGCGGAGTTAATTGCTCAAACAGAGAATGGTCGGGGCGCAATGGTTCGCAGCCCGAACAACATTACGCGAATCCATACACGCGGGCGTTCGAAGCGTATACGATGGGATCCCCACGAGACTCGGTACACGCTCGCTGGGTGCAGGAGGTTTTGAACCGGTTCCCTTGTTAAGCCTTTGGCGCCGTCTATTCTTATTCTCTTCGCGGTCTTTTCGTGCTTAGTTTTTTCACCGCTGGCATTGACCGAAGGGGGCCGACCCCCCTCTCCCCATTAACAGAGAGGCATATCTTCGACGTATGAAAAACGTATAATAATCATTTCACAATCGTTTAAATACATCCCCGGAGCCAGGAAGATTTTTCTCACGTTTTAATGCCCGCGCACCTACGTTCGCGATTCCATTTAAAGCGGTGCGCAAGCATAATTATTCCGAAACCGGCCGACTTCTTCGCTAAGGGGGAACAGTGCCATTACGATTACCAACCAAGACAGCTGAAATCTTCTGCTCTTAACGAACGATTCTCGTACGAGCTCGACGCTTCGATATTAACACTTTAATGCACCGATGTGGTGGTTAACCACTCTTTTAACAAGTGAAGTCTCTTTATATAATGTTTAACATAAAAATTTGTTAGTATAGGTGCCCAATGCCCTGAAAATTTCAGATTGATTGATTTCATCATTTCTTAACACACTGTATAACTAATGTATAATTAATGTAAAATAAATATTTCTGTTTGTTGAATTCATTTTGTTATCGTCACCACGAGTATGACTCGATGTTATAAGTCAAGGGGTTAAACGTTCCTAGTGTCGGTCACCGGTCGTTGGGACAAGATCCCATCTTGGCGAGTACGCAGCGTCTTCGTTGTGGGTCCAACTCTCGCGGGCCCAGGACACTGTATCGACAGTGTACGCCAGCAAAAAGGGCCCCTGTGTGTCTCAAGGTAGGCTTCATTTCTGGCCGCTCGGCAGTGTTCTTGCAACGAGGGATCACCTGCTCCTGGAATAGTGCATCTTCACGGTCGACATTTGCTCGTCGAGAAACAATCCATACTCAGATCCTGTCCCCGTGTTACTTTGGTTACGATACGCAACCGGTACCTACCGGAGAACCGTGTACCCCTGAGAAGCGATCGTTCGTGTATGTCGCCTCTTCTTCCTTCATCCTCGTTCACAGTCGATCGGTTGGGATATCTTGTGACATTGCTGGATCACACCGATGGAAGAACCTCGCGTGACATTCGAGACCCACCGCGCGCACGTCCGATCTACGTCACGAATTACTTCGATCGGAGATACCAAAGGACGACGACCACCATTATCCCGGGGCATATCCCGAGGACGGTGGATAAGTCATATCGATCTGTTTAAGAGGAACGATAACTCGACGGGACAGGTTTGCTTCACGATGGGCACGGAATTACGGGAGCCGCGTGCCTTCGTCGCGGGAGACCAACAGTGTGACGATCGTAAATAGAAATGAGTAATTGCGGGAACGAGCCTAACCGTGAGAATCATACGGGGAGTTTCACTCGAGTCTACCTGTATGTCGATGTATGGAACATTTGACCCTGAAGTGCTTATAATTTAAAACTGAAAGCTTTAGGTTCATAGGCATCCATTCCAATTTTCAACGACGAAGTATCATCCTGAACGTCCCGTCGAAATCACCCGAGCTTCGTTACGCTCCGATCCTCGTGTCCTACGATCGCGGATGATCCTAGGGTACGAATTTACTACAACGACGTGGTTCGTTAACAAACCACGCTTATCTGTTCCGCAGGGAACGAAAAGCAAACGAGAAGAGGACTGGGCACGAATCTAGTATGTTCGAGGTCCCGTGGCTCGTTGCGTGGGTCACGTTTAGCTGGTACACGTTGGCGCAGGTCAGTTTACCGGGTCGGATTCTCAGCGACGCATTCCCATGGGAATGCAGTCCGTTGGAGCACTCTCCGGAGTGCACTTAGGGCCCCCGCCAATGCCTACGGGGGCTCTGTTCGTGGCCATATATCGGTGGGTGAAACGAAAGCAGAAGCTCGATCCTGGATAAACAAGCGATTCCTCTCCACCACCTTCTGCATCTTCGCCTCCACCTCGTCGTCGTTCTCCGTCGGACCTTTTTCCACGGTCTTCTTCGCACGAACCGACCGAGAGAGGCTAGGAACAACTTCTCACAGCCCGAGCCAAGGGACTTGGTCCTTTTTTGCGAAAACAAAAGCAAAGAAATGCCGTGGCTTGGGCTGCAGGCAACGCTGGTTACTGGACGAAGAAGAAGGAGAAGAAGAAGAAGAAGAAGAGGAGGATGAGGAGGAAGAGGAGGACGTGGATAAGAAGGAGGTGCCCCGGTGGAGGAGGCGAAGCAAGAGAGGAGAGGATGCTACAGGAGGATTCTCGAGGTCTATTTCAGGCCCTGCCAGCAATCGCTATGTAAGGCCCCCCGTTCTTTCTATCTTTCTCCCTACACTCTCCCCCCCCCCCTTGGGGGACGGGGCCCTCTGTTTCTTCTCCGCGTTATACACCCGTCCCTTTTCTTCAGAAGGCTTTCCTTCTCCACGTCCATTCTCCGGGCAAGGAACAGACCTCGGTTTTAGCCCGCGAATAGCCTCGACGTTCGAGACGATCGGAGGAGCCATACCGGCCCCGAAGGCTTCGACGCCGTCGACTCTTCCATTTTGATCACTTCTAGGACAGTGATCCTCATCATCTTGCCTCACTGTTGCCCCCTCTCCCGATATCGATCAATATATCCGTTGGTCGTAACGCCCGAACCTGATTGCGTTTCGCGTTCGAACCCTCTCTCGATCGGGTGGGGTTCATTAAAACGTTCTCTCTATATCGACGTGTGTCGTGACAAGAATCATCGCAGTCATTCGCGTTCCTTTTTTTTCTTTCTTTTTGTTTTTTTTTTTTTTTTCGTGGAACGACGACACGGCAGACGCACGATTTACGGACACTGTGTACAAACCCGACCGAGGAATATGATCCCGCGATTATTTATAGGATATATCCAGGATTCTCATCGTTCTCCTAGAGAATCCAATTAAACGCCGCCGCGCAAAAGCGGTCCGGCGACTCCGTAGGACGAAAGGGCCGAACGACCTTGCATACTTTTTCCACGATTCACTCTTCGGAGCCATAATTCAGCCCTGGTTGTATACACAGGACCGTCTATCACGTGGTTGCTGCTTTTTTAAGGAAGATCTTTCGGATCAGTGTTTCTCCATCAATCTTCGCCTGCTCGGTTAGTACCGATAAATCAGCGAAATATCTTCCACGATAACTAATTTACTTCGTTTCTCGTGTCACTTTTATATTCTCTCGTTCGTTATTTATTCAACGGGTTATCCTGACTCTATCCCGATGAAGTTCATATTACCATACCTGAATTCGTTTTGTTGGACATAAAATAGAAGAATGGATAAAAATATCCTGTTTCGAGGAGATTGCAGACTATCCGAGACGACGAACTCTCACGTTTTCAAGTGTAGAGAGACGATCGTATCCACTATAGACAGGATTAATTATTCCAAGTACCAACGACTTGTCACACTAGTGAATAAAAATTCGACACTATTTGCAAGGGAGGAGTTCGATGCTGGGAAGAGTTGAGAA